GCACAATTTGATTTTAATATATCTGATGATTTACTCAAAGTCCCTGCATTATCCAGCAAATATGCCTATATCCTAAAGATCTACAATCTTTAAGAACAATGCTAATTTATTTGATGTTTAAAACAACTATAATCCTATCTTTAAAATATAATCACAAGTAATTTATACAGCATTATTAGACAAATATTAATTGAAAACAAAGGTAGGCTATAATTTTCAATTAAAAATACATGTGAAATAGACAGTTTGAGAACACTAATTTTAGTAATCAAAGCCAAGCCAATAACAATCTTCAAAAGTCCATCAATAATTATAAGAGTAGTAGAATATGCCCAATGTATTTGAAAAATGGGTGGTTGCTATAATCCAGGACTGCTAATTTAATAAGATGATGTTTGCTTACAATGACAATTAAAAATTTCCCTAATATTTATTTACATATGCATTTCATGTTCTAATACACCCTAAGGGCATAGTTAAATAACAAATTCGCAATAGTTGGTTCTCAAAAATAACAAAACAGAAGACCTAAAATAAAAATGAAATGTGTATATTTAAGGCATAATAGAAAACAATGGCCAAATAAACTTTTTATAAAGAAAGACAATGAGATCTTCATGACCGTTTTGCTGTCTTTTTTGAATGTTGATCACAAAACTGCTCTGGGGTGCCAGCCATTATTCAAAAACATAGTAGGACTACAAAGAGTATTTTCTACAAGATCAGTAGATATATCTAATGATATGTAAATACTCAGTAAATGTTACATTATAATATTTTCATGAATCACAATGTGCTACCCCCTAGACAAATCCCAACTACTACAAACCACTTATTCATCTTAAGTAGTTAACATCACAAGATAGCTTGTATTCTATATTCCAATATATAAATTTCAGCTAGCTTAAAAGTTTACAGTTGATGCTTTAACCCTATGCCTAGGAATTTTAAATGGTATTTATTATTATTATTATTAAGTGTATTATCTGGAAATGACAGTATAATATCTACATATGTTACATGAATATGAACATTGGTTTATGAACCAATGAAATCACTTTCTTCTCTATTAAATCATTTTATCCATAAAAATATCAGAATATAAATGGAGTACTTTTTAAGGAACTATATTTTTAATAGACATTTTGTATGTAGGATCAAAAATATCTGAATTTAGAATATCATTAATTCTAATAGAATTCTAATAGAATATCATTAATTCTCCTTTTGAAAAACATAAAAGAAAAAAATTACATTTTAGACAAATACACTAGAAATAAGCAGAAAATATTTCCACAAGTAAACTAATAGCACAAGTGCAAAACCTAATTAAAATCTTTAATTTAATATGTAAATTTCTACCTCACCTAGGAATTCAGAGGAGATATATCAATTCTGAAGCTACTTTCAAGACTTACTATCTTTTTATTTTTTACTTTTTTACTTTTTATCTCTTTCAAGTAGATAAAATGCAAGGTTTCAAAATAGCTGCAAAATAAAAGTCTGCAAAGATTTCTGAAGTGACAAAACAGTCAATAATAATTTTAAAATTTACTTTAATTGCTCCATTTCCAAAGTATGTGAATACTAAATATATCTAAGTGTAAGAAAAATATCTTCTAACATGAGATATAAATTTATTATTTCCCTCCTTGTTATCATCATTCTAGTACACAATGCATTTTTCTACCTCCAAATGTTTTACCACTTTTTAATAATCTCAAGTTATTAGTCTACTTTTCAAAGTGCCATGAGGGTATTGACTTGAAGTCTATTATCTACTTTGTATGAACTGAAGTCCATTCTAAGGTTATACTTCACTGTATCTTGAGATTCTTTTAGAATTCCTTTTCTGAGAAAATTTCAGGAGCCATCAATTGCTTTTGTGTTATAACTACTAACATTAAGAAATTCTTAATTTTTTAAAAAATAGTCATCCATCTATATAAATCTTCTTCTTATTTATGTACAAAGATGACTCTCTCAACTGCCCCAAACTGGGTCTCAGGAGATGGATTCCCTAAACGCTTACACTTTTGGATCTGGAAAGGACATTAGAGATCATCTACTTCAACTCCTTTATTTTATGGTTGAGGACGCTGAGCCCAGAAAAGATAGCTGAGTGACTTTGGGCAAGTTTCCTACCAAGTAGCAGAGCCAGAACCAGAAGCCAGGTCTCCTGACGCCCAGTTAGGAGCCAGGTCTCCTGACTTTTAATCCAAGGATCTTTCCATTATACACACTGACTCTCTATTCTTTGAGGCTGTCTTGGGCTGCTCACGCTGATCAACCTGCTCTGTAAATGACTGCAGTCACTAAATAAAATGCCTTTGATGACAAGTCATAGGACATTGTAGCATACCTGAATAAGCAGGCTATACTTTAATTAATCATACTTTTCCTCTGTTTAGAACATATCAATGGCTTCTCATGATCATACTGTAAATTATAAGCTCCTTAATATGATCTTCAAAGTAATATATGATCTAGCCTGAATATGCCTCATGCAACTCTCTTCCTCCTTCTTTTCTGTTGAAACTAGACTTGCTTCGTTTCTTGCAATGTACCCAACTCCTTCCTGCATCAACATCTGTTCTTCCCTCCCTGCAAAGGCTCTTATCCCATGTTTGGTCTGAGTAGCTAATAATCTACACTTCTCCGTTTAAATATATGTTCCCATAAAAAGTCAATAAATACAAAAGCCATGCACAAGTCCAGAGCCATGCAGAGCAAGCAAAACCCTGATAAAATGTGCTAAACCCCTGCCAAGCCCAAGCCCGCTGATCTACCTCATTTTACATTTTAATTGTAACCTGTATTTTTTAGTATGTATAACAAGTTATAGGTTATATATTCAATTAATTATTTACTTTTTTTTTTTTTGCTAATCTACTCTAAGCTTTGTCAGAAGAGGTACTACGTCTATTCCTAATCACTATCCTCCAGTACCTAGATGACTGTCTGGAACACGGCAATCATAACGGTTATTATTTATAGCTTGATTATATGCCAGACCTTCTTCTAAAGCTTATTATCTCATTCCAACTTCCAACAATCCCATAAAGTTGGTTTTATTATAGTATTTATTTTACAGATTGTATAACCAAGGCACAGTGCAATAAGAAATTTGCCCAGTATCACACAATAAGTGGTAAAACCAGTATTTGAATTGAAGCATTCTTATCCCAGAGTCCTTTTTTTTTTAACCAATGCCTGTGCTGAGGCACACGCAAATGTTTCTTGAAAACAATGAATGAACTTATGCACAAAATCAAATTACGTTTCACTGAACTATATAAGTGGAATAATAATAACAACAAGAAGATAGTGTTTACTATGGCCAGACACTGTTCTATCTACTATACATATGTTAATCATTCACTCCCACAGCAGCCCTACAAAGTAGTTACTACTGTTATTACCACTGTACAGATGAGGAAAATGAGGCACAGACAGGTAAGTAATTTGCCCAAGATCACACTGCTAGCAAGTGGCAGAGCTGGGGTTGAAACACAGGTAGTCTATTGCCAGAGCCTGTGTTCTTAACGTTTATTCTATACACCATATTTGTGATTGTCCATATCTGAAAACTGTTAGCTCAAATTTAATCATTAATTACTAATATAACAATCATTAGTGAACCCCAAAAAGACAAAAGAGAGAGAAAAATCCATCTGTTTAGGCTTAAATAACTCCCTTTCCTTGGTAGAGATAAAAGTTTATCCTCTGCATGAATGAATTACTAAAAGGTAAAGCCCCTTCCTTCTGGTGGAGACAGTTCTATAGCAGTGTGAAGGGTCTTTCTGGGGAGTGTCTTCTTTTTTTTCTAACATCACTATCTGTTGGTGCAGGATACAATTTGCATACCCATATTCAGTAGCCTTGGTTAGACTGCAGAGTTGCCAAAATTGTGTGTGCACTAAGAAGAAAAAAGAAACATAGGATAAAGTAATCCTAGGATAAAGACTAAAAAATAAATCAAAACAAAAGCCATGCACAAGTCTAGAGACATGGAGAGCAAGCAAAATCCTGATAAGATGTGCTGATCCCCTGCCAAACCTTGTTAAAATTTCAGATGAACGGGCTACAGCTTACTGAGCTCTTCGGTTTCATTAATTACAAAGTGAGAATAACAATTCTTACCTTGACAGATACCTTAAATAATAAAATAGTGTTGATTAAATCCCCCCTGAAAATGATAAAGCTGCATACAAGTTCTATGTTTACTCGATGCTCAAATCTTATATCTTATAAAATTTACAGGGATCTTTTTTCACATTTAAATTAAATTCATTATCTGTAAAAAACTTAGTGGAAATAGTGTTGCTATATATCATGATCCTTTAAACATGTGATTCTATTTTCATACAGTTGAAATTTTACCCTGTAATTATGAAAGCAGAAGAGAAACAAAAGGAAAGGCAGCTTTACCAGGAGGTAGCACGAGGTCAGCTAAAGTACTCTTAGACTAGACCTTAAAAACAAAAGCAAATGGAAAAGAAAAATTTTAGTTCGAGTTTGGATGACTCTAGTCAGCTCATTTGGAAAAAAGATACATAATTTTGTTCCTGAGTTTGGGTATTCAGCAGTTTTAGAAGGTATGTTACAAAAGTAGGGCAAAGAAATCCAGATTTAGAAGGCAGATTTTACAGACACTATAGCCTGTGTACAATGTCAAAAGAATAGGTCAAATCGGTCAGCTGCATGAAAGAAAAGCCAAAAATAAATCAGACCAGCCTATAGATAAAATAAGCAATCTGACCACATATTTCCACATTTCAATGAATCGTATTGGAATCACTAAGCACAGTTACTGTGAGAGACACTGGGATATTCATTTAAATTTTCCACCTGCTTCAGGTTTCCCAGATGCAAAGGCCAAATAATAGAAGTCTTTCTTTCCAAGGTACTATCACATGCTTAGGTGAAGGACACTACAGGAGGAAAAATAAAACAAAAACTGTTATCTTTGCTCACAAAATGAGATCTTATAACCTTACCTAATAGATTGGTTAACCACAAGGCCAGATCTTCTTTCATTGGTAGCAAATTAGCTTCATGTCTGCTGGCTAGCCATTGGCTATACTGATGCATATCAGAGAGGCCAGGTCCACTGCGTACCTTTGGGCTCAGAGCAGAGCACATTATTTATCCACTTGTAATACCTGTTTGGAAACAAAAGAAATTGCTTTTTATACAGATTTCTCTCATTAAAATGTTGTCATCATGACATTATAATAAACTGGATCCATGGGTTTTTGATTATTAAACCCCATGAAACACTATTTGCTTTATCTGTACTGGCCCTCTCACTTTTGGCCAACCACTTGGTAGGAAAACAGCAGCAATCAAAGGTCAAACAGAAAATCAAACAAAAAGATCCATGCTTGTATGAAATGATATACTTGGAAAGAGCCAGTTTTTAGGCAAGAAATTCCACTTACCAAAACACAAGGAAAAATTAAAACATTAGTGTTCAATTTGTTAACTCTCATTGTTTGGGCTATTATTTAAAACCACATATTTTCACAGAATTTTATGATTGAACACTAGCAATGACAGCATTTGTACAACTCACTGTAAACACATGATTATTACCCTCAATAATATTGCCTAACAGGTTATGCAAAGCACTTTTTTGGGGGGGAGATGGCCAAGCAATGGTGGACTCACAATTTAGAGAACTGGGTGAGGATCAGGGGAAGAGGTACATGCAAAGTCTCTACTGCACTTTTCCCGTGCAGTCAAAGAAAACAAAAAACAGAGGATAAGTTACTTCACTAAGATCACACAGCTAGGTCATGACAGAACTAGGCTTGAACCTGAGTCTTCATACTCCCAAGACCACTACACTTTCTGTAATAACACATTTTTACAAAATGGAATGGTCAATAACCCATATTGATAATAACCCAAGAATTGCACCATAATTTTAACAAATGCTGCCAGAGGTGTTTGTTTGTCCTCTTCTATTCCTACAATCACTCTTTCTTTTTCTTTTTATCTTTCCACTTTATTTGTTTTACATGCTAGGTTTTGTTAGAAATTATCTTTAGAGTAGAAATATTTAAATATCTTCTTAAATCTATAAAAACAAGAGATGCTTTCAATCTTGTGAGTAATGCAATCCCCCTATTTGGGTTGTAGAAAAGGTATTTGAATATATAATTGGCCTTTAATATAGCACTTTTGTTTGTTTTATATTTTTTAGTAGAGTCAGAGTCTTGCTATGTTGGCCAGGCTGGTCTTGAAGTCCTGATTCAAGTGATCCAACTGCCTCGGCCTTCCCATATGCTGGGATTACAGGCATAAGCCACTGTGCCAGGACAGAATATAGCACTTTTTTATGCATTATTTAGAGGATGTAATACTACATAAGACCTAATGTAGCAGCTAATAGTCATAATGTTTAACAACATGTAAGTAAGACTCCACTCTTTATATAAATATGCTTATGAAATAACCAGATGCTTGACCATGTAACAATGAAAATGAAAATATTTGCAACAGGCAAGAAGTAATGTTTATATGATATCATGGGGTTTTCAGTGATATTCCAATATTTATGGCATTTTAAAGTTACCAATAAATTATATATTCTCCTTTTGGTTTTATTATTTGAAAGCTTATATACTATTCCTTTCCAGGTAACCCCAAACTCAAATTCACTTAGCGTAGGTTAATTTCTTTTAAATATTGCTTTCAAAAGAAAATAAGACAGAAAAATGCAAAATATGAGCATCTCCTAAATATTTTGCTGTAGTTTTAGAAAAGACTGTTGGGATTATGAGTAAGTACCTAAAAACTATCATAAATACACAATTTAAAAGTACAATTCTATTTCTAATTAAATTACTCTCATAATTTAAAAAAAATGCCATAAATTTGCTCTGAAAACATCCTACATATATCTATCTAAAGTCAACCATTGTAAATGTGAACTGCTTTTAATACACCTTGTCATATGCTATTATACTGTCATTATGGGAATCAGAATATCACCATTGTTTATTATTTCATAGTTAATAATGACATTACCCATATAGAGTTCTAAAGTTTTCTCCAAATTCTGTGATTATATGCCAAAAACCTAAAGCATATTTGACTCCATTTAAAAAAAAATGTCTAGTACCAGAAAAGCAAAACATTTCCTTGTAGCTAAGTTTCCTACATGCCAGCTAGTCTCAGAAGCATTTAAGTAATAATACATATAAGCACATGAGTCATACATTTAGATAACTAATTGAAATCTTAAAAGGGTTACCTCTAAAATGCCTTTCTTCTCAAGACACAATCTCTCCCACTACTTTCCTGAAAGTGAGATGTGGCAGTTCAGTAACTTTACCTACACCCTATTGTGTGCTCTGCAACTTCCATTTAAGCATCAGAGTCCTATTTTGCTCTATAAAAGCAAGAAGACACCTCAGATTCTTAAGCTCATTGTCCAGCAAAGAATTCATCAACGGATAGTTTACAGTAAGCCTAATGGCATGTAACAATTTCAATGAGCCAGGACACAATCCTATCCCTCAAAACTTCTAAACAGTGAAGTTTTTATTTTCCTTGACAGTGGCACATTTATTTCTCATGTACTCTGTCCTGTGTTTTGCCAGAAAAGTAACTCAAACTAAATGCTAATAATTAGAGGTGAACATTAAGTAAAAACAATAAAAATAATTAAGCAACTTTTATTGTGCTCCTTTGTCTATAGTCAAAACTTTAGTGGCCAGAAGAAAGCAAAAAACAGTTACATGTTCCCAGGAGACAGAGGTAAGAGAAAGAAGGCTTACTGCGTAATTAACATGCAATAGACGTTAAGCAATTACATATATGTCAAATATGTAGTAACCTAAAGCCACTGTCATAGATAAGGACTCTTCTCTTTAAGTCCCTTCTGAAAAGAATTGGGATTCTCAATCCAATTTCTCCTGATCCTTTTTTCACATTTCAAATCACTACCAAACTTAGCATGACTCAACCGTTTGGCTGAAAGTCAATACCTGGAGGCCTTGGATTTAGATTTGGCTAATCCGTGAATATGAAACATGAAAATGGATTCAGTAGCATGATCAAAATTTGGAGTATGGAGAATTTATCCCATGGTGAAGTAGTTTCTAATTAAAAGTATTATATTGTGGTAAAGAAAGCTTAAATTAATTTATTTTACTCACCTAAAAAGATCACTATGGAATTTTACCCTTCTTATATCTTTTTAAAGAAATGTTTAGTCAATATGGATCAGTTGAATTACATCATAAATAACAAGGTATACAAAAAGATAATTTCAGTTCTTTTGAGTTCCTTCAAAAGTTTTCACAACCTCAAGAGATGTCAAGGGGTAATATTTAAAGGTGGGAAATAAAGGGATTGACGATCCACCAGACTTGAAGAAAACAGTGAGGCTAGGGAGAAAGAAAATCTTTTTTGTATAATATATCTAAACACTGAGTGATGTTTTCAAAAAGTATATATAGTACAAGTATTTTAAAAGCTTGATAAGTAACTTTGGTAAGTATTAAACCTAGTCAATCACTTTAAAAAGAGGAGTAAGGACTCAAATACTTCTATCGCTCTTCCAAGCTTTCTGGGTCTACCTAAAATGGATAATCAACCCTTAAGACTAGAAATTCAGAAAAATAAAACTTAAAGAGAAAAACATGCAGAAACTTAATACAAAATCCTTCAAAAACTGTGTGTGCATATATTTTTTCTTTCTTTCCATAGTAGAAGTGATTCTGGAATAACAATTATGAATACGAAGAGACTTGAAATAGCCCAGGAGAAGAAGCAAAAGTTAATGACTTTGTAAGTGAAATATCACATGTTTAAAGACTCTGTCTAGCTTGTTGTCCCAGAATCCCAGCTGAAGACATCATAATTTGGACTGTGAAGAAAAAGCATTCTTCCATGCCACCTAGAGGTGTGCTTTGACTATGACCAAAGTGATTTCTGGCTTATCCCTAGAATTTGCTGACATGTTAGAGAAAATGCATTGCGATATTACATAGAAAAGAAACAAGAAAGACAAAATAAAAATAATAAAATGATAAATATTACATCACTTCTGTCTGCTATGAGATTTAACTTAGAAGTCTGAATAATGGAAAGAATATTGGAACTGGAATCAGAAGACCAGGGTCAAATAATAGCTCCACTACCTAGCCATTTAATAGCTATGCTGGTCTAGCCATATGAATTTTTCTCTTTGTACCTGTGTTTACTACTATATACAAGGGATGCTGAAACTTTAAAAATAATTGTGAGGATTACATATCTGTGCCAATGCTTGGCATATATTTAATATTAAACATATTTGATATTAGCAAAATCTAAATGATCACCATCAGAAATGTGCCAAAATAATACTTCTATTGACTTATCCCAACAAGAAAAGCAATTCTGTGACAAAATAGGAATATTTTATAGAACTCTGAATCATTTAAAAAAGACAAAGGACAAGGAGGAGAACAGATGAATGTATTAATAATACAATAAATAATGGATTATTCCAAGTTTTCTTCATATTGAAAAGAATGCTGCCCTAAGATGATGATTAATCAGTTAATAAGGAAATGCTGTATGTCTCAAAGTATGAGAGGATATCACTACCACCCCTCCGCCCATGTACACACACAGACTCAACTGCTACCATGTAAAGCAATGAATCCTAATCAACCCGCAGTCAAATTCTCATCCCTAAAGGTCATCTTTGCTCTAATCTGCACCATTGGTCCTCACATCTATTCAGTTTCATGCGTTACAGGTGTCAATCAGTCAATCACGTTACCTTTTAAAATTATAAACAAACAGTGCTCCAAACTGAATATCCTTCCAAAATCTGGAAGGAGAAAAGGCCAATTGTCTAGCTGGACTCAAAGAATAAACCATCCAGGGAGGTTCTAGACGTCTCCTTCATCATTATGAGTTCTTTACTCTTTTGTGATTCATTTTGGCTCATTAATAGTATCTCACAAAATATACATTTCAACCAATGTCACAGATGCAAAATCTTACTCTAAAGGTCTAATCAGAAAATAAAGTCCATAATTTCATCCGAAAGGCAATTTCAGATCTTGTAAAGGGACCTCCACTTCAGGCTCAGTAGTGCAACTTATCCACAAATTGAAAAGCACCAAACATGAAGCAAAATGACACTTAATGGTAGTTTATCATAATAAAAATCTTTAAATTCAAAGGAATCTTAGAAGAACTAAATATTCAAACTCCCCGTTATTAATAAGGGGTCGGTAGCCTAAGAAGATATTTTGCCCATGGTAACAAGAGTGTTTTTTCATAATCATTAAAAATATCTCACTCAGCTTTTGTGATTCTTAATTTTGTGTAGTGCTGACTCTTTTAGAGATCTCTTTCTTATCCCACTGTCCCAACTTGGTTTGTCTTAAGTGAAATGATGGTATAGTTACAAATAACAATTTCTTCTCAAATCATGATTTTAAAAAAATTATGACTGAGTTGGGGATTGATTTTCTATATTTTCATGTCATTGGGAATATTGTAAAGTTTTCTTTAAGAAATCATGCCAAACCATCCTTCCAAACAATTTAGCACAGGTTTTTAAACTCCTAACAGATTAGCTTGAAACTTAATTAAAATAGAAAACCATCTGACAGTCATTAACAATATTAACAATTAGAATATTTAAGGGCTTACATCAAAATTTTATCTAAATTGATTAGGTAAACCTCAATTCATGAGAAAATTCTTTTCTGTTGTTTTAAAGATTTCTGTTTTACTTAATGTAGTAAATGTATAATGTAGTTAAGAACTAGCAGAGTTATACATTCAGTGGAATTATATATACATATATGGGATGGTCTCACATAAGGAAAATTAGCAAAATTTTAATTGTATTGACCCTGAAAACATTTAATACAGAAAATTACACAAGCCTCTTAATTTTGACAACAGATTGTTTTCTACTTTTACTCCAGTTCATTTCTCTAGACAAAAACATTGAGTGGAAACCTTCCTAGTTGCTCAGGTTTAAAGAAGCAGTTGGATCCTGTTTGGACCTTAATATCAAAACCACAGAGATACCAAACCAACCAACCTTACAACATATCCTGCAGTTTCAAACAAAAGTCTCTCTGTCAGCAGCTATAGCCCCATCATGCCTTTTCAACCAAGGTAACTTTTAATTTTCCAAAGTTTCCCTGAGTCTTCAATGCAGACTTCCAGTCTTGAAGCAAGATTTTTAGGTAACACACAACATGCTTACGGTTAATATAAGACCAGATATTTCACCATACTCGAAAGTTTAAGGTTTAACTGAAGCTTCTAGCCAAGATGCTAGAAAATTCCAGGGCAATCACATGACCTTTTGCACTAGTTGAAATAATGTTTGTCATATGAATTTATTTCCTAGTAAAGCACAGTCCATAACACCACAGTATAGTGTTTAACAATGAAGTAATGAAATAAACCCAAACTTTAGTAGTATACCAGCTGAAATCCAAGCTACCTTTTTCAATGTAAGAGACCATTTGGGTAACCCCATGCAAAGTCTCCAGTGTGCATTGCAAAGGCACACTGTTCCATGCCTCATCCATTTGTCCCTTACCTTCTCTTAGGCAGTCAAAACCCAGACACCCATATTGGAGAGGACCACCAAAGCCACCACCTTCACTGCAGTTAGAGGAAACCATTCCTTGAGGAGGAGTTCATTGATCAATATCAAAGACAGGTTGGGCAATCAGACCCAGCTGTAGTTAATCAGTGTCCACACTGCTAAGAGTTTGGAGTAAAGAAGCAATGAACACAGGGCTTGTTCTCTGCCTTGCCTCTGTGAATCTCAGGGGATAGGTGAGGAGGAAAGGTGGACTTCCTCTGCCCGGCTAGTACATTCAACCTCTCTGAGCCTTTATTTTAATACTAGGATGTCAAATGGGTGTTGCTGTGCACAAGCAGATCTTATTTCCTCGGCATAAGATCTCCCATACACAATTTATCTAACTTTGAGAGGTTTGGAGGAGATAATTTTATTAGAATAAAGTTTTGCAAACTCTTCACTGTAAGATCATGGAGGTGAGAGGATGAAGATGAAGAAGGTTGGAGAAGGTAAAGCCTTGCGGTTTCAAAAAGGTTAACTGGAAAAGAATAACCCTCCCCCAACCTCAATTGCTTTTGGAATGTAGAAACAGAATCTGTTAACCCTTGCTTTTGCTCCCTCTTGGTTCAAGACAATGGAAACTTCTTCGGATGCCTGGGCTAAGTTAATGGTCATTTAGCATACTGAGCTGACAGAATTTAACTTTGCCAGTATAAATAAAGTCTTCAAAGCAAAATTGTCTCCTTTGTTCTCCAAACAATTTCAGAGTCCAGTCTCAAGTTTGGACTGAACGAAAAGAATGATACCATGCAGTCTTCCCAAAGTATGCTGATATATATCGGCTAGCGTTTGTTTATTCACATGAAACTCAATTTCATCTAACTCATCAGACACAAACAGTGAGTATTAGCCCAGATCACACACGTGGCGCTCTTTCCTCCCATTCTGGCCTCAAAGACTCAAGTAAAACATTTAGGATCCGTCCATTAAGACCATTCTGGCTCCATCCCACCCCCCGTAACAAACAATGCTGAACATGAATTAGAGATACCCTTGTGCACCAATGCATATGTGTGCATTTATAATCGATGTGTTCATTAAAAATCCTCACTCTGTCTCTGGTTGGTAGAGCTAAACCAACGGGCTTACGTGCTGCAGTCATCTGGGGTGTTCCACAAAAGGGATAAGGAACACATGGTTGTTTCCAGGGAATCAGAAAGTCACCCACTGCAGTGAATACCCACTCTTAGAGACAGAGCCTGTCCAACTGTCCGTGGCTCCTCACTCTTCCCCGCCTCGTTCCCGAGGTTATTTTTTAATGACTTCTCCCCTCCCCCGCCGCCCCCGGTGCAGTAGACAGGCAGGGGCTCCCGTGAGCCCCGGCTGCAGAGCGCGCGCGCTGCGGCGGCGTTGGCGCAGAGCTGGGCCAGCCAGTCATGCTCACCCCCGCGTCCTGAGCTGGGCTGCTGGCGGCTTTCAGAGGCGCTTGGGCTCCTGCAGCTTCTCGAGGCCGGCCCCCTCCAGGCGCAGGTCCTGCAGCAGCCGCTCCCCGCACCCCACCAGCCTGGCGGCAGCGGCAGCAGCTACAGCCGCACTACCCCTCTTCATACTTCTCTGATGGCTCCTTTTAGTGCTGTTTGGGAAAACGATTTTTTTCTTCCTGCCAGAAACAGATTTCCTACATTTCATCAGTCCTCATAGACCGAAAGGAAGTAAAATGCTTACTTTTTCTGGTGGACAGCAAATGCAATTGACACCGATTTACCCTTCAAACGGGGAGAGATTGTATTACAAATCCTTGGCAGCAATTCCGAGGTTGGGGCCGAGCTCCAGCCCCCTCCTTGTCCCCTAAACACTAACCTAAGAAAGAAAAGGTGGGGGGTGGGGAGGGGATCATATTTAACTCTAGAGTTTGAACAGAGTCAATGGCTTTAGCACAATATTAAAATTGAGTGTTGGAAAAGTTTTTGCTTTCCTGGCCAGTGATTTTGCAGACGGAGGCACGAGCTTTCCAGTAACTTCGGCTCCTCTTCATTCCAAATTGAACATTGTAATGTCTTAAAATTCTCTTTAAATATCAGATTTTTAGAAGAGGCTGCACTCAAAGCTGTTTTTGCTTTACAAAAGGAAATACAATTCCCCTGTTCCTTCTCTCAGCCTCAGCTCAGCGTTATATTGAATGTCAGAGACAATTTTCTCCAACTGTTGTTTATTAGTACGTGTATTGTGAGATGAAAAGTCTTCCATGAAGTGGACAGATGTTAAAGTGTCTGATTCACCTCAAATGCGTGGAGGCTGCTTGCCGAGCGTACTAATCGCCGCGGGTTACCACCTCCCATGGAGCATAGATAAAACGTATTACACCTTTTATTTTGTTTTGTTCTCATGTTTATCAGTTTCATGTATATTGCCATCCAATGTTTACAGCGGCAATGGCACAAGTATTCTGATCCTTGCTTGGATACTATTTTTTAAATGATGAGTTACCCACCCCCGCTCTCAAATAGAAACTACCTGTACATCCACAATAGCTAAATGATATGGATAATTTTAGATATAACTGAAAAAAACTTATTCACATTTCACATTTATTATTGCTATTATCTGACAGAAACTGCATCAGTAATTTGCTTCTAGTGGCAATATATATAATAAAGAAGAAGAGAAAACAGATTGAAAAGTTTGGAGTCATTGAACTCCAACCTTTTTTTAGTTCAATTTGCTTTTGACGCTATCATCTCCACATTCCTCCTTTCTAAAAGAAGGGAGAAATAGTGATTCTTAATTTTAAGGAGAAACAGCATTTTTAAAAGGTCTACATAACAGCTTGGATAAATATAAGTAACAACAACAAAAAAAAAAACATAACTTGTTACTGATGGATTTGAGTAAACGAATCTGAGTAAAATTTCTTAAAATTTAATCAGATTTGAGTATTTCTATGGCCCCAACAAAGAATTTCGAGTGTCGGAACATACACAATTTAAGTAAAAAATCAAATGTTCTTGAGAATTTTTCCTGATCAAAACATCATCAGCCAATAAATGTTAATTTAAGAATTACCCAGATTTGTAATGAGTTCAAAACATTTAGCACCTCAAACTTTCAAAATCTTACCTCCTATTCCTCTCTAGATATGAATGTTCTTGTCACATTGTTCATTATCGGCGTTATAAAATGCAAAGAGTAAGGCAATATTTTCGTTAATTCAGGAACAATGCTAAATCCAGTTTTGGGGGAAAAAAAGGAGGGTTACAGAGAAATTGGAAAAGCATAATCATTCAAAATTATTCCCTCTCCATGCCCATTTCTTCCAGGTATTTTTTTTTTTTTTTGTCTTAAATTTTGCATTATGTCAGATCCTCTGTCTCTCAGAAAGAACCAAAGAAAAATATCAGGAGAAATAATGTGTTTTTTCTTAATCATTAAGATCTAAGATAAGTGTTGCGCTAAATTTTTTTTGGTGACAAAAATGAAGTAATACAAAAGATAGCTGAAGAGATATGGAAATAGTGTATTTTAATTTTTTAGCATATGTAAAAATTCTCTTGATTTTTATATTGTGTTTTTCAAAATCAATATTTCTGTTTATATATTCTGATCACTCACTGATACTGTCAAAGATAGTCTTTTGCCTAAGTATGTTCTTAGTTTGGTGTGCACTTAGCCCCAACTGTTCACCTTAGGAACCTGTGGTCCAACTAAAGCAACTATACCTTATCTGATGTGAAGGTAAAGAAAGCAAATACCTCACTTAATAAGATGAAAATGTTTAAATACATCTTTGAAACTTAACACCATTAAAAAGAAAATTCAAGCCAGATTTAAACAGTTTGGTTTTTCTTTTCAAGTTATCACAGTTACAGGACTTTAACATTGGAAGTTTCCGGGTTACTATGTGGGCCCCACATTCTAAGCTTTCAACATTGTCTCCAACATGAATTTTCTCATTTCTCTACAAAATACTTTTTTGAGTTTAAAAATGATCCATAAAATACATTATTTTTTTCCTCCTATATAGGTTATTCTCCTTTTCTATCTTAGTCCTTCCCCGAAATGGAAATAATATATGCAGTACTCACTCTGAAAAGTGAACCAAACCTTAAATAAATTATTGAGGACACTTTAAAAAATTTAAATAACATGAAAATAGAAGACATTGGGTTAAATTTGGTAAAATAAATTTCCAAAAGTGACCAAGAAAGACATATTCTTAAACTGCTTGAAAGGAGCAGTTAAAAATGGTAAAAGACAACCTGGGAAGCAAGTGCAAATAATGATACAGAAAGCAGTATGAAGACATGCAATAGTATGAAAAAATATATGAAAAAATATATTTAATAATAACTTAAAACATTGATTTACATTTTGTTAAAATGCTTCCTTAGTAAAGTCAAATATGTTTGTTTTTCCCAACCTAGCATCTTAATCCAAAATATAAGGCCTTCAATTGATATATTTTAAAATATAGGTTTTTAATGTCATAAGGCAAAAAGAATGAATTTTATGAGTCCTAGCATGGTAATTACAAATGATATCAGGAATAAAAACAGACTGGTTTCTGAAATTTTAAACAATAAATGCTATTATTTTTCACCACCATTCATATATAAAACCACAAAGGATAAATCAAAGAAATTTCATATGTAAAGTTCAAAGTTTACTCTCTATCTGATATGCAATTTAAAAATCTATTACTTTGCTCTCAGTGGCAAACTTCAAACTTTTTAAGTACAACACAACAGTAGCATAAATATTTATTCCCTACTGTGCAAGACTCATTTTTTTGGGCAAAATGTGTATGATGTATAAGCATGTTTTCTAATTTTTTCACAAGAAATAGATTAAAAATTATTTTATGAAGTATGCCATTTGTCTTATCTAGTTTAATTCTTTCTTTATTTATTTAGAAGGGAATCTCACTCTGTCACCCAGGCTAGAGTGCAGTGACGTGACCATGGCTCACTGTAGCCTTGACCTTTCAGGCTCTAGCTATCCTCTCATCTCAGTGTCAGGGTAGCTGGGACCACAACTGTGTACCACTGATGTGGTTTGGCTCTTGTCCCCACATGTTGAGAGAGGGACCTGGTGGGAGGTGACTGGATCAGGGGGTCAGTTTCCTCCATGCTGTTCTTATGATAGTGAGGGAGTTCTCACAAGATCTGATGGTTTTAAAGGGGTGGAATGTCCCCTCTCTCTTTTTCTGTCTCTTGCTGCCATGTACGACATGCTTGCTTCCCCTTCGCCCTTCCCCATGATGGTAAGTTTCCTGAGGCCTCCCCAGCCATGCAGAACTATGAGTCAATCAAACCGCTTTCCTTTATAAATGACCCAGTCTCAGGTAGTTTTTTATAGTAGATTAAAAACAGACTAATACAGCCACCAACTCTGGCAATTTTTTTAATCTTTTTTTTTGGTTGGGGGAGATCAGCTCCCACTAAGTTGCCCAGGCAAATCTCAAACTTCTGGCCTCAAATAATTCTCACACCTCAATCCTCCAAAGTTGCTGGGATTACAGGCGTGAGCTACCATATGTAGTTTTAAATATCTTATGCAGTATATTCTGTGGTGTGATGTCTCTTGTCTAAGGTAAAGTTGTTTTTCGTTTTAAGTTTTCTTTTTTATATATCTTGTAGTTTGCTTCTAAATGTTAAAAAATTCTATGTCATGTCATTTTAATCACAAGTAGCTCAAGTATAATATAAATGTTTATGTAAAATATGTTTATTTCAACAATCTTTCTTGTTTTTCCACCACTGTATCTCTGGCATGTAGAATACCATTGGACATATAGTAGGCACTCAATAATTGTTGAAATAAAGGAATGATCATTTTAGAAGAAGCTGGTATCTTAGAAAAGATACAACTAATTGATTATATCTTTATTTGTTGTCTCTAATTTAATAGTTTAGAACTCAGAATAGAAATGCAATGTTAAAATAACATTACAAATGATAGTTTCATTCCCAAGCTAGCAGCATTTCGTCTGGTAAAATGTAACTAGAGTTCACTAAAACAGATGCTTGCCTGTGTGCCAGGCTTATAAATGAGGTCAGTCTGTGTCACTTGTCACTTCATTAAAAACCAAGGTTCATTTGGACTCAAGGTTTAATCATAACCAATATAACATGAGTGCAATGAAAAGTAATAGAAAATATTACTACTGCTGTGGCTTTCAAACTTTTTTGATTGTGACCCACAATATGAAATACATTATGGAACAGACCCATAGAAACACACTTAGACACAAATAATCTAGACGTGTTTTACAAAACATTGCACACTTTACTAATATATTGCACTCTGATAATTTTCCACATGACATTATTATAGTCTTTACTGTGCTATTCAATTTAAAAGAAATGCTATTAGAGAACTGCTAAATTTGTTTTATGATCCACAGTTTTAAAAAAATATGATTGTAAGGAAACTAAACTAAGGGGCAATCAATAAAAAGTGAGGTAGGGTCCCAATTAACAGATAGTTTCATCATAAAGTACAAAACAGATAAGTTTGTATATTGTCACTGGTAGACATGATGTTACACCCTCACACTTTCATGCCTTTGCTCATGCTAGCAAAATGATCTTTTACCTTTCACTGTCTCCCTCTGAAGAAATCTGGTTCACTATTCTAGGGGAAGCTTAATTGTCACCTTCTTTGTGGTTTGCTTGATCTCTCTGGTAGAAATATTGTTTGTGACTCTATGTCCAGTGCTTTGA